GCCCGGTGGGTGTTCTTCAGGTGGGGGGGTAATGTCACATATTCATCCGCTTATAGAAATGTGGTTAATGTCATTTACTGTCCACACAGGAAAAGTTGTGCCGAGCAGCAACCTAATCCACAGAAGGGTTAATGCTGAGCAGCAATTATGCAAATGAAACCTGGTAACTGACTTTGGGGTCAAAGGCCGGTTACAGCTTATCAGAACTAAAGGAGGGGTATTTAGGCCCAGTTCTCATCCTGCTCAGTGCCCTGTTGTGGTTTCCCTTGTGGTTGTCCGAGAGCGCATTCCTGTTATTAGTTTTCCACCTGGTTTTTGACTTTGGCTTTGTTTATTGACTTCTCAATATTCTGGTATCCTGACTCCTGGCTTTCCTCATCGCTGCATCCCTTTCTGTGTTCCCTGTCCTCGGCTAGTATTTTTGACTATTCTATGTACGTTAAATCCGGCCATTCTAAGGACCAGTAATACGTTACTTATTTGTCATCCGTGCTATACAGTTCTACGTGCTGGATCAAACTGTAATCCTGACAGAGATTCAATTGCAGATGTGGTCATCTGGATGAAAAGATCTACACTTGACACTTCACTTAGGTTGGGGGTGAACCAGCCTTCGGGTTTTAAGTCCGTGAGTGCTGGTTCAGAATTTTGTTCATCTAGTAATGATAGTAATGTTTGATGGAGGTGAAACTCATCATCAGGAACACCTATTTCTTTGGCTGTTTTTTGGTCCCTTCTTTTATGCACCACATTAAGGGCTAATTTGCAGCCAAAAAGGTTAGTATCCTTTACCCAGTTAAATTTGTTGGTGTTGGGAGTTGGTACAAATGATAATCCTTTATTAAGCAGTGAAATATGGTGTTCTTGAAGATTGAATTTTGATAAGTTAATGATTTGATTAGAATTGTCACTAGTTAGTGTTGGTTCCTTCTCCTGTCCATTTTGTACCCCCATTTTTTTCGGTCTCTTAGTTTTTCTCGCTGAGGAAGAGACCAATCTTTGTCTAAAAAAGTATGTTCACCTACTGGATTAGTAACTTGATTTGTTTCAAGGACTGGAGTCTCAGGAAAAGTTATGTTTTTACTTTTGAGAATACTTCTACCCATTCGTGTATTGGGTTGGGTTTTGTAATATAACATAACGTTAGCTGAACTTTTACTGTATTTTTGGTACTATTTCCAATGATGGCTATAAATCCATATGCCATTTATTTGAACTATTTAATGACCTCTTATGTCCAACACAGAGTTGATTGTTAGCATAGTATTCACATTTATTATTATTTGTTGCTCTTAGATCAGCAGCTCTTGGTCATGAGAACCATTATTCACAGCTAATCATTGTATGTGGTATTCATATGCTATTAGCAGTATCACCACTGTTATCTTTATACTGACAACCTATGCATTTTTGAACTAGGAACTATATATTATTTCTACTATTTACTATTACCTGTATCCCACATATGCAACATATAGGATTTATATGCTCTGCATCCTATATTACTCCACTAATTAGAATCAATTCTATACTCCCCCGATATTAGGTATTTATCAGATACAGTCTCCCGGCTAGCATAGACGTGTGCTTCCTCTTATGATTTATATACCGTGTGATTTCAGAGTCTTCTCACTTCGAGTTATCGAGCTCTGCATTTATTTTATCCCATTCATTTTAGGTTTCCACTATTTATTTAGTGTGTAGCACTTTGGGTGATTGCTATTTTTTGCAATTTTTACATTTTATGAATAAATTCTTTTTTTGTTTTCTATTTCTCTAGTTTCTCAATTGAACTTTAGACTTTTAGACTTCTACATTTATTGTAGAAACTTTTAGTACTTTACAGACCATTTTTTCTCCCAGTATCCTCTCATTGGTATCAAACATTTTTGTCTATTTTTTTTCTCACAGCTACACAAACCACTCACAACAACAACACACAAGCAGCCACACACATCACTCACAGCTAAACACACACAATACACTCAGCTACAAGCAGGGCCATCTATAATATGATTAGGACCCTGGGCAATGCATTTTCTTGGGCCCCATGGGCCCTGTCCCTGCCACTGCCTCACCCCCCAATTACGTCCAACCCGCAATCACACTGACAGACGTACTGGCACATACACACACAGACAGACATTAAAACATTCACAGATACATACTGACACACACAGTCACTACACACAAATATATACTGGCAGACATACTGACACACACACAGACATACATACATACATACACAGACACATACATTAACAGATATACTGACACACACACAAACACATACACTGACAGATATACTAAAACACACAGACACATACACTGACAGACACATTGACACACACACAGGCATACTGACATACACACTGACACACACACAGGCATACTGACATATACACAGACAGACGTAATGACTGATACAGACAGACATTAAAACATTCACAGATATATACTGACACACACATACACTGACATACAAATATATCCTGGCAGACATACTGACACACACACACACATAGACACATACACTGACAGACATACTGACTGACACACACATACACACACAGACATACTGACACACAAAGACATGCTGACACACACAGACAGACGTACTGGCACATACACACAGACAGACATTAAAACATTCACAGATACATACTGACACACACATACACTGACACACAAATATATCCTGGCAGACATACTGACACACACACACAGAGACATACCTACATACACACACACACAGACATACTGGCATACACACAGACATACTGACACACACACACACACTGACACACACACACACACAGACATACACACACAGACATACTGACACACACACACACTGACACACACATACTGGCATACACACAGACATACTGACACACACACACATATACACACACTGACACACACATACTGGCATACACACAGACATACTGACACACACACAGACACACAGACATACTGACACACACACACACACACACACACACACACACAGACCTACTGACATACATTTAGACACCCCTTCAGCCCCTGCTGACACATGCTCCCCGGGTGGCCCTTAGTGCATGGGCCACCCGGGGAGCCTCCTCAGTGTGCGGGAGCCGCACTGCCCGGTCCACAAGGGCTGCGCAAATCGCGGGGCCCACAGAGCAGCTGCTCTGGGCCCCCAGGAGCAACTGGGCCCGGGGCAGCTGCCCTGTTTGCCCCGCGTTAAAGACAGCCCTGGCTACAAGACAGCTACAACACTTACATGCATACTACACTCATTCAACATTTTAATAAATATTAATATTTCATAACATAAAAAATAACATAGGGGGAGAATTTTCCGGTGGACACTCTAATGAAATGGGTAGCTCATGTCAAAGGATGTAGGAGTATCATCTCTAACAGGGAAATCGGTTATTTTTTCATATCCCCTTAAATAATTGGTACTGTGTATAAAATTGCCTATTCTAGCAAATAAAACCATTTCCTACTTTCAAAAATGTAAAAAAAAGTGCTAGAAAAAATAAATTGTGTGTATCTGAATATTCCATTTTTAATCTTTCTAGAATATAAGGATTCCTCAAAAATAACATAACAAAAAATATAGCTTTGCAGAGTTCTTAGACTGTTACTATAGTGACTACATTTCTTTCTTTCTTTTTTCTTTTTTTATTAAACTGTATGTACAGCTCAAGGGCAATGCCAGATATTTTTAATCTAGTACATTTTGGAACAATCTATAAAGGTTCATAAAACAATGAAAAGGTTAGGCAATGTTAAAGAGATATTTCACATACAAGGGCAGATGTTTGTGCTTTGTTATCATTACTATTTGAAATTGGCTCATTTGTAGATCCAATTTATCTATTGAGGGAGAAAAAAGCAAAATATTTGATTTGGAAAAATGCTCCTTATTTTAACCTTAAATTTGAAATTCACAAAATACTCACTAAACCAAAATTAAGAATAACAGATTAAACAAACTGCCTGGTTTGTTCCAGTCTCTTTTAAACTGGCATGTGCATTGTGTAAGAGTGTTTAACAAAACATCACAGCAACACATCTCACAAAACTATGCTCTGTATAAGCATATCAAAGAGTCCCACTGCAAGAAACCTCACAATAATAACCAAAGTGGATATGCATCACAGAGCTCCACAGCAATTACAGTGACTTAAAGAAACAGTGTATGTGAGTGCATCACAGAGCTTCACAGCAGTGGAGAACAATCACAATATTGCCCAGTGTATATGAATGTATCATAAAGTTGCAAAAACAGAGCCAGCCTTAGGGGTGTGCAATCCAGTGACATTACCAGGATTTAAATTTAGGGGGACACATGGGGGCCATCGACAAAAGTAGGGGGCAGTTAAAAAAAAATTGTCTATCTATATATTATATGAGAGAGAGCTCTCATCAGGACAGCAAAAAAAACATTACATTACAGCCTAAAAACACCTGTAGTGGCTGTCTGAGAACTGGCCACTAGAGGTGCTTCCTGGGGCAGTGTGTCACAGTGTTCTGCATGGAGAAGTTGAACTTTACCAATAGAGATACCCTCCTCGCTTCCCTCCTTGGCTGAGATCATCAGAATTGATGATCTCAGCCAATCCAATGCTTTCCTATGGGAAAGCTTTGTGATTGACAGATTATTTAAATGTATGTTTTCTAGCTTTTTAAGGGAGGATAGGGGGGCCAGCACCCTAAATAGTATTTTTAACACTGTAGGGTGAGGAATACAAGTTTTGTATTCCTGATCCTAAAGCATTCTTTTAAGATTATCAAACCAAGAACAACTACCCTGGAAAAATTAGATGTAGCTATAAAAAGCATAAGAAATAAATTGGACCCATTTGTGGGCACAAAAGACTTATAGGATAGGATTTATCCATGGAGACCACTGACAAGTTGGTTAAAATAGATCAAGACATTTTGAGAGTGAAGCATAAAAAAATATTTAAGAGATGTAGATGATTACAAGAGAGGTAATGTCAGGAAAAGTTATAAAATGGTGATTTCAAAAGATATGAGAAGAAAGATGATGGTCAAGAACATAGATTTAGAAAGGAATGTTAATCCCAGAAATCCAATGAGAGAGCATGGAAGCAGACAAGACAGACAAAATATATGGGAAAAGGTGGAAGGAAAATTGAATTGGAGCCTTTATGATCAGTAGCAGAGGAGGTTTATTTCTTTAGAAACTTCGAGCCCTTAAAAAGATGGAGAGAATGAAAAGAGAAAAGACTAGACATGTGCAATTCGTTTCACTCAGAATGTAAATTCAGACAAATTGCAGAATTTCCGAAGTGCTAAACCAAATTGCCGAAGTTAAAATTTCGGAACTGCCAAAGTGCTTTGGATTTCTGAAAAGTGGCAAAACAAGAGAGGGAGGGAAATATATGGGAATGTTGACAGGAATCTAACCCAAACCCCTAACCCTAACCCAAACCTTACCCCTAACCCTACCCCTATATGTGTAAGTGGTTGTGGTGGATAGGTTTAGGGGTTAGGGGTAGAGGTAGGAAATTGCTGAAGTGCTGAATTTCGGAAGTGCCGAACTGAACCGAAGTCCCAAATTGCCAAAGTCACGAATTTCGGTGAACCGAACCAAATTTTTTGACGTGCACATCCCTAGAAAGACAGGAGGGAGGAAGAACAAGAAGGATAAGAAAATTTAAAGAGAATATAGAACCTATAAAAATGTTTAATCATTCTAAGAAAATGTAAATCGTAATCATCAAAAAGTTTTAGAAAAAGGTTTTACATTTTCTCCTAGTCGTGCTTTAAATAAATGTGAAACTTTTATTAAAGGAACACTATAGGCTCAGAAACACAAACATGTATTCCTGACCCAATAGTGTTAAAATCACCATCTACCTCACCACCTCATGCCTCCATAAATATAGCAACATCTTACTTGTATTCAAGCCTGAAGCTGTAGCTCTGCATGCTTTGCCTCAGAAAAACAAGCTGTTTGCTGACATCATCAGAAGTGCTTCTCCATAGGATTGGCTGAGACTGACAAGGAGGCAGATCAGGGGCATAGCCAGCATGATTCAAACAAAGCCCTGGCCTATCAGCATATCCTCATAGAGATGAATTGAATCAATGAATCTCTATGAGGAAAGTTCAGTGTCTGCATGCAGAGGGAGGAGACACTGAATGTTTGGATGCATTTCAGGCAGCCATAACCCAGGAAGGAACTCTAACAGCTATCTGAGGAGTGGCCAGTGAAGTTATCACTAGGCTGTAATGTAAACACTGCATTTTCTCTGAAAAGACATTGTTTACAGCAAAAAGCCTGAAGGTAATTATTCTATTCACCAGAACAAATTAAATAAGCTGTAGTTGTTTTGGTGACTATAATGTCCCTTTAAATTTAGAAAATTTACTCATACTTACCGTCATTTTCTTTTCCTGGATAGATCCATGGCAGTATCACAATAGGGTTAGCTCCGCCCACTTGGCTGTTTAGGACAGGGACTAAATTATAAAATAGGACCTCCTCAGTCTTGTAACTCGCTTGAAGATCTATAATAAATTAAAGAAACAGAAGAAGGGAGGGAAAACTTATGCTGTCATTAATCTATCCAGGAAAAGAAAATTATGATAAGTATAAGTACATTTTCTGAATTCCTGGCAAATCCATGGCAGCATCACAATACGGTAATATCCACACTAAAATTAAGGGAGGGAAAATCCCCAAATAAATAAATAAACAGACGCCATAATGCTAAAATGATCAATGGAATTTTTATTATTCCAAACCAAAATATTTTATGAAACTGAACAAAGAATGTTTCTGACAAATTCTGTAGTCTTCTGAGATCTCACATCCAAGGCATAATGCGTTATAAAAGTGTTGGCTGATGCCCAGGTAGCTGCTTTATAAATGCTCTCAATAGGAGTGTTAGTTGCAGCTGCCCATTATGATACCCTATCCCCCAGGGGCTTTTCCTAAAACAGGACTATGTACTGGGAGATTCCAAGGGAGATAGAGGCTGAACTCCCTTAGGCCATGTAGAATGTGCACTTAAACCAGAAGGGACCTGAACCTCTTGCACCTGATATGCAGATTGAAATTACCTTTTCCCGAAGAAGTTTTGAAATATCTATTAGCTTGTCTTTTCAGAGCTATACTTGGAGTCTTTGCTGTTACACTCCTTTCTCAATATCCCTTTACTTGAGAATAAAATCTAACGAATGCTAGGGAATAAACCTCCTGAACAGAAAACATTCAAATTAACCATTCCCTTAGAAATAAATCTAAAATTACAAGCAAAACTACAGAACAGCAAGATTTTATCGAACAGAAACAAAACTAATAAAGGGAACGCCAACCAAGATGGAGAAAAGGCGCAAACACAACTATAGAAACGAAAGGGATAAGATAAGATCAAGGCTCAAAGGAGGTCCCCCATATGAGATAGATGATTTTTAAGTGCTTGGATTTTATATGTGAAGCATACTTTCCTGAATACATCCAAACTTGATATGCAATATTCCACATAATACACCGCTACCCTAAGGATCATGGCGGAATAGGAAAAATAAATGTATTGGAACAGCATAATATTCCGATACCCAGAGGATCACAGTAGACAAATAAGAGTAGATGATGAAATGTACCACTTAATACACCGCTACCCATAGGATCACAGCGGATTTTACCAGGGATCCTGTAACTAAGGATACCCTATCGGCCAGGGGTTTTTCCTTAAACGGGGCTACGTACTGGGGGATTCCAAGGGAGAGAGGCTGAACTCCCTTAGGCCACACTAAATGAAAATTAGTCAAGGTCAGCTAAAATAAATAGTAATGTATAGGTAAGTTAAGTTACCTGATAACTTGTCCACAGCCAAGAGGACAGGAAAAAAGACTGAGGAGAAGGGGCGGTCCTATTTATAATTTAGTTCCTGTTCAAAACAGCCAAGTGGGCAGAGCTAACCCTATTGTGATGCTGCCATGGATTAGCCAGGAATAGAAAATAGCTGAATACACAATAAAAATTGTATTTATGTTGACAGTTAACGCCTCACTCAAAGTTTGCTCATTGAACCTCAGTGCATCTTGTAATTTAACTCTTCTATTTACTTATGAAGAGCTGTTTAACAGCTTCAGTGAAGCTTCCCCCAAGCAAACTAGAAGAAACTCAGCCGCTTATTTAAAGAAAAAAAAGTCAGAAGTTCTGGACTCCTGACACAAGAACAAAAACAGTGGATAAAAGATAATTTGGCATGTTCTGCACTTGGAAGGCTGACGTTAGATCTGGTTATGAAGTTCCCATTTATGGCAGAATTAAAGTCTTGCATGAGATAAGCTAATCATCCTGGTTTCCCTTTTCTTCTCATGTATAGCTAATTGTAACGGATCACCTGGCACCCCGACTGGGTACCTCCGTTAAAGGATGCTCCTAGCACTTCCTGAGGACTCCAAGCACTGCAGCAGACACCAAAACCACCGAACCGTAGGAGCATATGAATGCTCTCAAGCATATGAATGCTGTAGACAGTTGAATAGGAACCATATGAATAGGTTTACTCTCCTAGCAGTCAAACTGGAACAGCATACAATAAATCCTTCCCCCAATAATGAGACGACACTTCACTTTGAGGGTTAAAACAGGAACTCCCTGTACTGTCACATACAGTCTCTTTTATTCCCAATCCACAAACATAGTACAGCCCACAGGGCGTTACAAAACAACCAATCACATCACAGTTACATCCCACATATTCCCTCCCCTTATCCTGAGAGGAAACTCAATTATACATACAGTTAAAACATACTTTCTACCCAACTTTCATAACTCTAAAACCATACATCACATTCACATAAAATTACATATTCACAATCAATCCATTCAGGGGAACAACATATTCAAAAATGGCACAAATCAGACAAGGGGTTCAAAAGTTAGTAAAAAGTCCTTTGTGACTAAATGAAGCATGGCTTTCTGGCCCAAACCAGTTTCAGAGTCTTCTATCCTGGAGATAAGTAATTCAATTATCTCCCAGGACAGACACAAGACTCCATTAAGCACATGGTTGCAAAAAGACACAAAACACTTTAAAATACATAAAGTCACATTTACACATAACACACAGACATTTCACATATCCCCAGATAGCTGGGATCTGAGTGCACATTATTAGATGAATGGCACTCAGATCACACAAATAAGCCTTTCTGCAGGGGAAATAAACAGTTTAACCTGCAGGGCCATAGTCCAAAGGGAGCAGGCGAGCAACCAGGCTTCTCCAGTTCACAGTGGCGAGGTTGGTTTCGCCACACTTCTCCCCTTTACCAACTAGACTAACAGGGTATCTGACCTCCTGCCGGTCAGTGCCCTGGTTAGTCCAGCAACCCACCCACAAAACAGAAACAGCAGTACAGCCCACCCACAATAACTGGTTACTACACCTGGGTAGAGGAAAACTTTGTCCATGTCCAGGTGCCTCACCACGACTGTGTGGGCAACTGTTAGGCTGCCTTGGTGGGTTGCTGAGTGGGCAGAGACCAGCGGTACTCTGCCCTGATGCCAGTGCTACCACGGAAGTAGCCTGGTGGGAGCCTGGTTGTGGGAGGGAGAGACCGACTGTCTCCCCTCTGGATACACCGCTCTGTGGCTGGGGAACAGGACCGACTGTCCCTACCCCTTGTGCTGTAAGTGCAGAGACTACAGTCCCATCTGCACTGTTGGGGGGTGTAACATCTCCCCTTGCTGGGTTAGGCTGCCGCTGGAGAGAGGGTGTAACAAGCTCCTCTCTCTGAACTGTAAACTGCCGCTGGGGAGAGGGGGTATCAGGCTCCTCTCCCTGACACTCTCTCTGCTGGTGGAGAGGGGGACCAGCTGTCTCCCCTTTCATTATTTTGTCCTGTGGTTGGGGTGCGAGACTGACGGTCTCTGCTCCCTGCAGGACACTCTGCCGCTGGGGAGGAAGGACGGCACCTTCAGCTCCCTGGGGTACACACTGCCGCTGGGGAGGAAGGACTGCACCTTCAGCTCCCTGGGGTACACACTGCCGCTGGGGAGGAAGGACTGCACCTTCAGCTCCCTGGGGTGCACACTGCCGCTGGGGAGGAAGGACTGCACCTTCAGCTCCCTGGGGTACATACTGCCGCTGGAGATCTGGGCCGACCGCCCAGCATCCCTGTAGGGCCGGTTGAGAGACCGCCGTCCCATCTCCACCTGCCATCTGTGGGTCTGCCCAGGACCAGTCTGTGAGGTCCCTCAACATTTGCGAGTAAGGACCACCTGCTTCCGCACCTGGCAACTCCGGCTGCTGCTGGGGATCTGGGCCGGTCCCATCTCCACATGCCTGTTGTGGTTCCTCACAGGACCAGTCTATGAGGACCCCTAC